TGCTGTGCGTTGAGTAAATTATCTCACTTTAATCCTTACAACAATCATGAGAAGTTGCTATTAGATCTGGATAGGAACAATTTGACATTAGTGTCCTTAAGCAATTTGTCTAAATGTATGCAATTGGTGGTTATATATGGATTTCAAATCCAGATCACTGATATTAAAATCACCTTCTACTAATCACGCCGAATTTACTTTCCCTTCATATCAGTAATTTGTCGATTACTGTAATTAATTCAATTAATCCATAATTCTTCAAGAGGAATCCATTGTAAAGTGAATTTTATTGCCAGCTAGATATAATGTATCAAAAGCTTCCCATTCTTTCTTCAGTTAAATAGAAACTTTGTTTTATCAACCATAATTTCACTTTTTTTCATAGTTTTATGAGATAGTACAGGGTAGAGGACAGAGTGTGTATACCATGTCACATGTATGGAGTTTAGGAGGACAACTTTTGCAAGTCTGTTCCATCCTTCCACAATGTGGGTCCCAGAGACTGAACTCAGGTTTGGTGGGAAACATCTTTCCATGATGAGCCATCTCACCAGCCAACCATCGGCTTATTTTTTTATGTTAATGTTATAACCTTTCCAGAACTCTTCAGTTACTGGAAACAGATACCTTGCTAAACCAGAAACAAGTTGGTTACAGTATTATGTACCATTTAAAGGCTGCAGAAGGGGGATTGCCACAAACTCCAGGACAGCTTGGGTTACAGAATGAGTACCAGCTAGATCCCTATAGCAAGACTCTGGCTCAGTAAACCAAAACAAGCAAACTGGAATTGGAAGGGATTGGTTTCTCATACCTGCAAATAAGTCAGTGGTGCTGTGATCATATAGTTAATACCTCAGGTTTCAGTGACCTTGCTGATCTTTTGTGTAGTCAAAATAAGGTTTGTTATTGTCATACAACCTAAAGGACCATGTGCTAGAATAACTCCAATTCTGAGAATTCTTAGAGTCAAGAAATTTTACTCCTGATTCTATCGTTAATATCTTAACACTGAATAAGTTATTTCTATACTTTGTCTCATGTTCCCTGCTTAATAATGAAGGGAGCAGAACACAGGATTTCTAATGTTCTTTACAGTTCTGATATGCTATAGAGATCTAGATTGTAGAAACCGTTTTGGTAAGAATGGAAACAAAAGCTGAGAATAGTAACATGTATCTGTAAGCATAGCATTTAGAGCTGAAAGCAGCAGGATCAAGAATTTATGTCATAGAGTTAAGAGCTAGCCTGGTCTACCTGAGATCTTGTCTTAAGAAAAGAAATTTAAAAAATGAAACATTGTATAGGTATTATTATTTTTTTTCTTTTTTTTTTTAATTTCTTTTTTTTTTTGAACATGAAATGCTTTTTTATAGCATGTTTTACAAGGGGAGGGGGTAAGAGGGTCCAGGTGGTGGAAAAGTACAAAATCTTCTTGGCCTGTGCCTTGAAACATGTCATGGTCTATATGGTACACTGCTTTGAATTATGATCTACCTGCAGTTCTTCAGAAGATATGGTACACTGCTTGAGTTTTGGTCTCCCTGCTATTCTTAAGAAGACATGGTACTCTGCTTTGAGTCTATCTGCAGTTGCTAAGCAGGATCTTGCAGTTGCCAAGCTTCAGAGGACATTGTGCAGGTGGGGAAAGGTAGGAGGTAAGGGTAAGGGCGAGGGTCCTGGCTTCTGGCATCTCCCCCTTCTCTGTTTAGTTAGAGAAGGCGTCTTATGTTCAATCCCAACTATGTGAGTTTTGAATTTGGATGTCTAATTATGGGGGGTCTTAGACAAGTTCACAACCCCAAAACACTGATGTGAGACGAGTCACATCGATGGTCGAAGGCTTTAGGCTGTCGACGATGGGGGTATTAAGGATCCATTTTGTATATATGGGGGGAGGGTTGCTAAGGACTATTCTCAGGGGGCTTTATATATATTAGGTAGGTGCATTGCCAGCTTACTTTATCTCTTTGGGTTTTTTTGTTTGTTTGTTTTTTTCTTGTTTTTTTGTTCTTTTTTATTTTATTTTGTTTTGTTTTGTTTGAGACAGGGTTTCTCTGTGTAGCCCTGGTTATCTTGGAACTCACTCTGTAGAGCAGGCTGGCCTCAAACTCAAAAATCTGCCGACCTCTGCCTCCCAAGTGCTGGGATTAAAGGTGTGCGCCACCACTGCCCAGCTACTTTATCTATTTTAAATACTTTTTTTTCCTTTTTAAAATTGTATGTACATTGGTGATTTGCCTGCATCCATGTCGATGTGATGGTATTGGATCCTTGGAACTGGAGTCATAGACAGTTGTGAGCTGCTATGTGGTTGCTAGGAATTGAACCCAGGTCCTCTGGAGGAGCAGACAGTGCTCTTAACATTTCTCCAGGCTTCAGTTTGTCTCTTTACATAAAAACTAATTGGCAGTTGAGTAAAAAAAGAATTTCAAATATATATATATATATACATATATATATATATATATATATATAT